ATTCTATAAAAGTTTACAGATTTAAGAAAATTTCTCAATTGAAAATTAATTATGTTCATATATGTTTTCTTATAAGAAATCTTATATATTGTAAAGCGACATACTACATGCATACACAAAGTTATTGCAGACATTTGTATGATGAGCTTCATTTCACTCGTATTCTTAATAGTTTTTCTCATCTAGTTTGTATTCATTTACTTGTTAAATGCATATTCATGTATAAGTTCAATTGCTCAAGAAAAATAATGTTGGTGTTGCGATCTGTAACGAGCGCGAACTCAATATCATCCCCATTTCTGAGGTAGTGTCATGACACATTACAATATTTACAAAGCAATATTTTCAATTCACATTTTAACCCAACGTGCAAGGTGCAAGGTGCAAGGCACGAACGAGAAAGACATGATAGTGATAATGTTATAAAGCATCCAATGATATTATAGTGATAATTTTATATCAAAAAATTTACAAAGCATCCAATGATAATGTTATATCAAAAGCTACCTTAACCCAATGTGCAAGGCGCGAACAAGAAAGACATTATAGTGAAAAAAACAAAGAAACTGAGTGTTCTAAACGTCAATTAGCACAACGTGCACGTCAGGAACGGAAAAGAGTAGGACTAAGTACATCCATTTAATCTAGATTAACATCAAGTCACTGCCCCTGTGCATTNACGTGTAAGGCGCGAACAAGAAAGACATTATAGTGAAAAAAACAAACAAACTGAGTGTTCTAAACGTCAATTAGCACAACGTGCACGTCAGGAACGGAAAAGAGTAGGACTAAGTACATCCATTTAATCTAGATTAACATCAAGTCACTGCCCCTGTGCATTTCTAGAGGGGGAAACAAGTAAAAGATCTCACATTCACCTAGTGACGTCTATGTCCTCAGATATTCCTCAACTTCAAGCAAAACAGACAATAATATGTAATGTTTCATGTCGTTGTTTGTGATCACTAATCTTCAAGGAATACCCAATTTAAACGAAGTCACCATGACTTTAGTCACTATCCAATTTAAACGAAGTCACCACCACAACTATATCAACCTGTATAGACAATNTCATGTCGTTGTTTGTGATCACTAATCTTCAAGGAATACCCAATTTAAACGAAGTCACCATGACTTTAGCCACTATCCAATTTAAACGAAGTCACCACCACAACTATATCAACCTGTATAGACAATCAATAAAATACTAATTACACAATCCACCGTCTAAAAAACCAACAAACTGTGAAACCAATTGCAATCCTCAACTTATATTGCTTCAATTCAATCAAATTGTATTATCTATNATCAATAAAATACTAATTACACAATCCACCGTCTAAAAAACCAACAAACTGTGAAACCAATTGCAATCCTCAACTTATATTGCTTCAATTCAATCAAATTGTATTATCTATTTTAAACAAAGATCCCACAAAACAATTTGTGGTGTCTATACAATGAACCAAGTAAAATGTACGTGTATGTACAATAATATATGCATGTAAAACAATAGAATATCATTTTTCCTACACGAATAACTATATGAATACTTGTAAAAGTGATAGACAAACAACTTTAATCACACAACAAAATAATATAAACAAAAACCAAGTAAGAGGTATTGAATTAAATTTTGGGTTATTCTAAAATTTGCTCAATTCAAAAACCAAGCTCTTTTTTGGTTTATGTTATTGAGAGAAATTGAAATCAATGTAGGAAACTTTTAAATTTTTGACAGAGTACCCTCTGAAAATATGATGTCACAAATATATCAACTTGTATACAAAATTTATATATTTCATAATCATAATCATAATCAAATCATGTCATATGCACACTGAAATCCAACTATATACCAATTACCACAACACCATTCTTCCTACACAAACAACCATATCAATACTTGTAAAAGTGACAAACAGAACATAAAATTCTTAAAAAATTGAAATAGACCCATAAAATTTATAACAATCACCTAGGGGATAATTTTGGTTGCATCGTGGTGCCTTCATTCAGATTAGGATTCTCTTGAAAAATAGTGGCTAAAACGCGGTGACTTCGTTTAAATTGGGTATTCCTTGAAGGTTGGTGATCACAGACGACGAACATGAAACATTACGTGTTATTGTTTGTTTTGCTTGAAGTTGAGGAACATCTAAGAACATAGATGTCACTGGGTGAATGTGAGATCTTTTACTTGTTTCCCCCTCTAGGAATGCACAGAGGCGGCGACTCGGTGTTAATCTAGATTGAATGGATGTACTTAGTCCTACTCTTTTCTGTTCACGATGCGCACGTTATGCTAATTGACGTTTAGAGCACTCAATTTCTTTGTTTTTTTTACTATCATGTCTTTCTCGATTGCGCCATGCACTTTGGGCCAAGGTAGCTTTTGATATAACATTATCATTGGATGCCTAAAATGTGAATTGAAAATATTGCTTTGTAAATATTGTATATTGGAGGAGTATGACTATTAACTATAATGTAAATATAAAGTGAGATTTGGGAACCGGAGAAAACAATAAAGTTTAAAAAGTTAACTACAATGTAATACCACTTGACACGAAGTACTTACTGTTCCCTTGTCAGAAGAGATTGCTATTCCTTTCTTTTACACTTTGTACTTACAGTTACGACTGATCTTTCCTTTGCCTTTTAGATCAGTGTTATTTAAGGCGTATAGCGAACCGAAGCGACCAAGGCTCCTAACGCCTAGGCGAGAAGCGAAAAGCGAAGCGACACGCTTTACCGAAACAAAGCGAACAATTAAAAAAAATATATATTTTAGTTTAATTACTTCTAAACAATCTAAGTTCTAATTTTATATATACTAAATATTTAAATGCATGGAAAATCATAAACATTTAAATTAAAACAAACACTAATAATATCTCAAATCTTAATAACAGTCATAATTTAAACATTTAAATTCAAACAAATGCTAACAATTGTATATATTTTCATATTGACAAGGTAGGACAACAAAAGAAGCAGAATCAGGACAGCAGCAGAATCAGCAACAAAAAAAAAGGAAGCAAAATGAGGATAAAAAAAAACAAAAGCAGCACAGGGCAGCAAAACCGAAGCAGCAACAAAATCAACAAAAAAAAATAAAAACAGAATGAGCTAAAAAAAAAAATAGAAGCACAATGATCATGACAAGAGCAAAATCAATTGTAAACAATTTCATATGTAATTATGTACCGAATAAAAAAAAAGAACAGAGACACATTTCACATGTACTAAAATAATTAAACATGGTATAAGCATAGACCACTTTTTGGTACAATTTGTATATATATAAGAAAAGGGAAAAGTATAACCAAGACATATCAGAGACACTTCTTTGTAGAAGACTCTATTATTTACCCTCATTCCTGATACTCCTGCTTCCTTTCTTTATCATAATTTTGCCGTGCAGTCGCTTGACTTCCACATCCCACAAATATTCTAAATGAATTCAGCAACACAAGGAAAAAAAAGAATGTGTTTTGTTCGGAACATTGCTTATCAGAAAAAAAAAAAAAAACCAGTGATAGTCTAAAAAAAAGTCATCAGTGATTAAAAAATAAAAGAGACTACTAACCTGTGAAAAAAAAAAAAAAAAAGAGGGGAGCAAAATCGCCTCTTATAATAAAGCGTTCGCTTTTTCACTTTTTTCTCGCTTCGCTCACGTTCGCTTTCGCCTGGGATCCTCCAGGCGAGATAAGCTCGCCTCGCCTCGCTTCTCGCCTAGGCGAGCTTTTCGAAACACTATTTTAGATAGTAAGTATAGATAAGTGAAATCATTATATAGAAAACAAAAGGCCTATAATCTATAAACAAATTGATGTGTCAAGACATTACCTCAAAAATGAGGATGAAATTGAGTTCGCGCTCGTCGCAGATCACAACACCAACACTATTTTTCTTGAGCAATTGAACATATACATGAATATGCATTTAACAGGTAAATGAGCACAAACTATATGGAAAAAATTATTAAGAATACGAGTGAAATGAAGTTCATCTTACAAGTGTCTGCAATAACTTTGTGTATGCATGTAGTATGTCACTTTACAATATAAAAGAAGATTTCTAATAAGAAAACATATATGAACATAATCAATTTTCGATTGAGAAAGTTTCTTAAATCCATAAACTTTCATAGGATTGAAACAAAATAGATCAAGGTCAAAGTTGTATTGACACTAATTATTCACGGGATAGATGTATGTTATAAAACCAAACAAATTGTGTATATTTAAGTAAAGAAACACCGGTGAACGTATAGCTTTTAGCATAATATGTACACCTTCACTCATCTAATACCTTTAACCACTCGTATGGCTCTACTGAATTTAGTTTTTCCCCCTTCATTTTTCAAAAGGACAAAGGAACATATAAATCAAATTGAGTAATTCAAAAAAATAGAAATATTCGTTAAATACACATATTTATTTAGTTGTAAAATTGCTAAAAACACATAAGTATTGACATATTTTGTGCATCTGTAGATCAACTTACTCAATCGCAACTTCTTTCTTGGACGCAAATGAAAACAAAGGCATGTTAACCTAGGTATTAAACATGCCAAAAAAAAATGAATAAGCAATTATCATTGGATATGAAAATGAACACCAGGAATAAAAATGGATGCAGGTGAAGTAATAACACAACAGGCAAAAAAAAGTAAACATAAAAAACCAACAAATGGAATTAAGTATTGAACAACAACAATAGTTAAAATAGTATTGAACAGGGCTTACAATAATGGACTCAATTATAAATTAATCTGAAAAAAAAATCAAAATCCAAGGAAGGAATTATGCAAAAATAAAACAATCCATTACCCACATAAAACCAAGAAACCAAACCCAGTCAGTCATTTTTCCAAACATCTTGCGAGCAAGCCCAAAAAATGAAAATTAACAAAACTGTGAGCATACTCAAAAGTAAAAAAGAGCAAACTCAATTGGAAATTGGAATCGGGACACAATAGCAAACAAAAATCAATGTGTATGTTGCTGTTTGGTCTGTGTCAGTGTGGGTTGGGAAGAGGATGGGGGAATACCAGGCAGTAGCGGTGGCTGTGGCTGCAGCGAACTTGGTGACTGTGGCTGTGGCTTTGATAGTGGTAACAGAGACAGACAGAGAGACGTTTGAAGTGAAGAGGAAGCTAAAAGAAAAAATCGAAGGCATGGGTTTGGGAAGAGGCCATGCCTGTCTCGCCGCCTATCTGTCTGACAACGGTAATGATACTGGTGGTAGAGTGTGTGAGAAGTGATAAATTTGTGAAAAATACATAAGGTATAAAATTTTATTATATAGATTAGAAACACACTACATATATACTTACAGCAGAACCAAAAACGTATGAACCAGACACAGCGACCAAGGTGCTGAATACAACAACAGCAGTTGCCGGCGAGGAAAAGTGACTACTCTGCTGCCCCTCACCATCACAGCTAATATCGGGGCTTATTCTGGTAAGTAGGAGACTCGATGTCTGCTCATACTCTGTGCTTTCTCTCTCCATATATAATGCATATATACGTATATATTGTAATATGTTCTTTTGTTTTTTTTTTTTGAGGATACCGAGTAAAAGCAATGAATGAAAGACGAAGAGATGGGATTTGAACTGTCAAGAAAGATGAAGATCGGAGATTTCACGAGTCAATTCTGTGGAGAAGTGAACAAGAAAATGATGTGAGAGAGAGAGATTTTTTGCCTTAGTTTCTTACTGCAAGCAGCAACTTGCAGAAGAAGACGACAAAATGGAAAGTGGGTTGGTTGATCTCGTTGTCGGCCTCGTTATCTTTTTTTGCATCATGGTCCTTTTGTCCCTGAGTGTGTCTTTGAATGTGAGGGACGTAAATTAAATTTGATTCCCAAAATTTGTAAGCTTCCTATGAATTTTAATTGGTTTTTTTGGATTGAAAAAGAGCATATTTATTATCATTTAAAATTAAATACATCCACCTGGAATCTGGAGAGAGAAACGAGTTTATTACAATGAGCAAAGATGTTTCTTCGATCCAATTTCGCATCCTTTATAGTCCACTTATTAAACTGTATTGTGAAAATCAAACAAGTAGGGACTCTTTCTTTTTCTTTTTTTGATAATTAGTAGGGATTCTTTCATTACGATATACATACCCACACGCATATATTGCAGTCGATTGTCGATGAGGATTACTTGAAGTGTTTTTTTTATCTTATATATATGCTAGTTGATGCACATTTTGTATATGAATTATTATAGAAGTTTATTTTCAATTTGCGAAGGCCAATTATTACCAAATACCACAAAACTTTGGGTCTAACAACTCTCAAACTAAATGCTATATAATATTTTCAGAACAATTCAAACAAAGTATGCTCAAACTTATATCAATTTTGGAACATATACGCCCACAAATTTGGAAATGGAAAAAAATCACTACTTAAATTTTTTTTTTGGTAAATCGGAAAGTTAAAACAAGAAAAAACTAGATAGAGTTCCTAGCAATAGCTACCCTAGTCATATCTGCTAAACAAAAAATTAGCTAGCTGGGGAGGCGGAGCATCAAGCTCAACGAAATTTTCCAGTTGTTGGACTCCAAGGTTAGCCAAAACATCATCACACCGATTGCCTTCTTTGAGAATATGAACTATGGGAATGTGCTTCATCTCCATAATCCTTCTGCAGTGAGTAATAACAGCTCTATTAGGATGAGTAGCCTCCGGATCCGTGGACAGAAGCTTGGCTTTCTTCTAGTGAATCAGTTTCCACAACGATATGAGTGATATTCCTCTTCTGCACAAGCTCCATACCCTTAAGGATTCCCCATAGCTTAGCCTGTAAGCTTGTGGAATCATCCATTTTCCCATAGAAGCCAGTGATCCATTTTTCTTGATCATCTCTAATAATTCCTCCCACTCTTGCTAGGCCTGGGTTTCTTTTTCAGCATCCATTCGTGTTCAGTTTATTCCAACTTGTATGAGGGAAAGACCATGCAATAAGACAGGAAGAAGTAATAACATACTCATCTTGGGCATTGTGAAAGGCTTTGACAGTATCCAAAGCAAGAAACCACGCTTCCCTAGGAAAAAATCTAGGTAAGGTAGAAATTTTAGAAATGCTTTCCCCTTTCCTATCTTTCCATATACACCATGAAACACATGCACACATAATAGGCCAACTAATTCCTTTCCAATCCTTGCTCTTTCTTGTTCTAAAATTTAAGTTAATCCAATTCTGTAAACCTCCCAGCTGATTAGTTTCCTCTCCTTGGGGAAAGTTAAAAAAATTCCACACTCTTTGAGCTTTTGGGCAAGCAAAAATCACATGCAAGGATGTTTCATCAGAAATGTTGGCATCTAGCGTAAGAAGCATCACTAACCATGTTCCTTGAAGTTCTAAGATTATTAGTGAGGGGCCTATAATGTTGAACAAGCCACAAAATATGCTTAAGCTTTTGTGGAAGATTCATGAGTCGTTTAATGTTTTTATTTTTGTGTTTTAAAAAAAATCAAAATGAGAGACAATTTTTGTCTCTGTTTTGTGGTAAGCACTGAAACATAAAACATTTTTGAAAGTTTTTTTTGTCTATCAAATTATGAGAATAAAAACAAAAACACATGTTTGGTACCTAATTCAAATTTTATACTAAATATAAACAGTTGGCTTATAGCCCAAAAGAGTTGATTCTCATATTTAGGGGCCCTTGCTTAACCAAAAAAAATTCCATTTGTGACCTAATCACACTTGGGCTTTCGAGCCTCTAACAACTTTCATACATCCCCGATGTTTTTCAATATGACACATCATTTATTTTTTAATGTTTGATACAATTTTTAATAGTATTAATCCATCAAAGATCATCAAACTCATTCAATCTACTATTTTTTTTTTTAAGAAAGAGAGATTTTATTCCAAAGAATCAAAACAATTACAAGAAACGAAAAACAACAGCTCACAAGGAACATCGCCAAGAAGAAAAAAGTCAAATAAGGCTTTAATCCTTCAAACCTTTTAATCCTCCTCCTAGCAATGGGGAAACCTGCTTTGTCTTGAGCCAGGACTCTCTTTAACATCCCAGGCAGAGAACTTTGAACAGAAAAATCTGAAGAAGACCAAAGCAGAACAGCTCCTTTGGCCAACCAGTCTACAACACCATTCGCCTCCTTGTAAATATGTATAATTTGGAAATTCAGTACAAATTTCTTGCACCAAGTAGCATAATCTCCAAGGACAGCATACCCTGCCTTGAACCATATTGACCAAAGAAAGCGAATCCGATTCAATTAGAATACGATATACTTCCAAACCATAATGCTTGACCATTTTCAATCCATCCAATAAAGCTCTCCCTTCAGCCATCATATTGGAATCCTCTCCATAAAAGAAAGATGCAGTCAACAACATACTAATGTGTCTCACAAACTTCTTTTATGATAACCTCTAATTAAATGTGTACATCAAATAACACTCACATAGGGTGTAGTACTCACTGAATTTTTTTTATTTCAAGGACTATGATATGGGCCACGACTTAAATTATTTCATGGCTTCGCAAATCCTTATGAGCCAATCTATAACGATACACATGACTTGAAGATGAATCTTATATTTCTCAAACCACTCAATTGAGTCGCAGGAGGCTTATGATTTATGTAGAAGAGGGAACAAGAGTAATGTTATGATGCGGTATAAGTTTTATCATCAAATTTTTATCTTAAATGATGCGGTATAATTTTTATCATCAAATTAATAAATTTTATTATTATTCAAAAATGAAAATTGTGCTATATTATTTGAGATAAAAAATTTGATAATCATAATATTATCTTATGCATTTATCTAATTACCCCAAAAACGGTAATTTCATATTTACAGATCATATTTCTTGTGTTTTTTTCATTCAATAATGCTTTTCTTACCAGCTCTTTTCACCAATTGATGGGACACCACCACTGTGAGACCCAATCATGCATTGCATGCATATTAATATAATTTTGTGGGTTAAATTGTAATTATGTAAAATTATTAAAAGGTTAATTAAATTAAATCTTCTATAGCCATGATGTGTGTGAGCAAACATTGGGTAGGTGGACCCTATTAGTGATGTATTAGTGAGACCCATTTATAGAAATTTCATGTGTGAAAATATTAGTGGGTCGATTTCAAAATTATTTAAAACTTAGGGGGAGGCAAGCGTCATTAACCCATTACATGCAAACCTTTAAAAAAAAGAAGAAGAAAGAAAAAATGTGTCGTGTGTGTGTGTGTGTGTGTGTGTCTGATGGAGTACTGAAGCCGAGAGAGTGAGGTGAGCAAGAGAGAAAAGGGAAAAAAAGAAAGGAAGAAAGAAAAAAAAATATACGCGTGTGTCCACTTGAACCGTGAGCAAGGAAGGTATATGAATTTAAGTTTTGAGTTACGATTAATTTTAGTATGTATGTATTTGTATATGAGTGGACTGTTATAGCATGTTTTAATTAGTAAACTATTTGACTTTAAATACATGAGCTGTTTTATTTTAATGGACTATTTTAATTTAAATCTTATGGGCTGATTTCGTTACTGTCAAAACAGCTTTTGTATGGGTGTAATTAAATATATTTAGCATACTTAACAAGATGTTAAAAGTAGGTTCCAAATGGGTATTAAAATAAATATGAAAAAAATGTGAAAAATAGTTATTTGAGATGTTCGGTATATTTTTTAGGGTTAGGTTGGAACCAAAATTATGGGAGTGAAATGAGTGATTTAAACATGCAATTATGGGGGGCTGATTTTCATAATTTAGTGAATGTATGAGTTTAGGTATAATTATTTTAAAAGAAAAGTGCGATAGAAGTGGGAAACGGGTGATAGTAATACCGAAATCCTGATTTTTAAATATTATTATCACATGTGCGAATTTTAATCCAAATGACTTGAAATTTTGGATGCAGCATTTTTAAATGATATTTGATGTGATAATGTGACTTTCGAATGCAAATGAGTATAATATCCGGTGTGAAATGTATGAAATACTGGAAGTGTAGTTTTAGGATTTGGGGTCGAAATATGTAAAAATGGACCCTCGGTCAATGTGTTTGACCTAATTAATTCTAATTATGCTTAATGTGGTTGATTTTGAGAATTTGGGAAGAAAATGTGATCCCTAGAACAAAAATGCAAGTGTGTGAGTGGATAGTGCGGTAACCGGAGTTGCCAGGGGCACTTTGGGGTGCATCATTTGCATGCATTAGTGTATGATTAATTATTAAATGTGATAACTATATTGATATTGT